TTTTTAAAAAGAAATCCAACTTCTTTTGTTTACTCATATTTTAATAAATTGCCACACACAACTGACGAACAACGGTTAACGGACAACTACGAATGGACGAATACGTACTGAAGTACAATATTGGTAATATTATACTTCGTAAAATAAAATTTTATAATAATATACGATAACATGTGGTTATAAATAATTATTCGATACTGTCATGCCATCGACGTTGCCCTTATCGTCATCATTAACAATATAATAATATCTCATACAATATATTGTGCACGTCTAACGGGTTTTCCCACTAGCTGCCTCTAGAATTCTAGCTTTTTTCTATTTTTAATATTTTGATAAAAACACAGCACAGCATTTTCGCGGAACCCCAGGGTTCCGCGGAACCCAGGTTAAGAAACACTGCAATAGATGAATGTAAAGGTTCATCACTTTTATTGTTTGTTATTGTATTTTTTGTTTAAGGTACTTATTGTTTAAATATTATTAGATACCTAGCTTAATTTTTTTTCCATGTAATTAGGTACTGAAATGGTTATCCCTAGGTTATCTAGTTGTTAAATTTGACTGAAGAAAGTTACTATTATGAATTTATTCTTTTAATTGTTATATTGTTTTAAATACTATAATATTGAAATCAATTTTATTTTATTTATATCATATACTAGACTGTATTTTAATTATAATAATTTTTTAATTTTTAAGTTTTAAATATAATGTTTATCTAGATACATTTTTATTTTGTTTTTAGCATATAGGTACTAAAATGTGAATTATGTTCATAATCTATTTGTTATTGCTTAAATATGAGTTATGTCTGCTAAAAGTTTCTAAGAATTAATATTTCTTGTTTTGTTTGAGATCATACTTTTTTTTTCTATAAATCCTAAACTGTTTAAATAATTAAGTTAATTTTGAATTTTGAATAAAGGTTATTGTATTATTTAAATTTGTTTAATCATTTCATTTTTATTTAATCAAATAATAATTTGTATTTTTTTGTGAAATTGAACTTCCATTGTGTATACAATTAGTATGAAACATTTTAATAAAATTAAATAAATTACTTAAAATTAATTTCTTTAAAAATAATATTCAATAATTTACCTTGAGTAATTATTATAAAATATTTAATATTATTATAGATTAAATATATTAAATATTTATTCTATATTTCATTGATATATCTATGTAATAATATACACCAGTAACTTACCCCAGGAGAAAGTCAACTTGCCCAAGTACGGGATAAGATGACAAATTCAGAATTTTTTTTGTAAAATTTTTAAGTGATAAACTTTTTAATATTAAAACTTGAAATTATTACAGGTTATTCTTCATATTTAAGAAAATGCTTATAGAAAATTTCAAGATTTTTCGACTGTTATTTAATAATCAACAATCCTTAAGTTCGTCAACTTACCACACTCTCCTCCATATGCACAATGATTAACAATACATGTTTTTTTATTAGATTAAATATGTTATATTAATTATTAATTATATATAATAAAATAAATATGAACATATCAATAAAAAAAGTTAGAATATTTTGCCATTCCCAAAAATTTGCCTCTTACGCCCCCCTTAAATGTGCCATTGGTTGAAGGGGGGAGGCTTAGCCAGAAGTAGTGTATTTTAAAATTTTTTATGAGGGTTGTACATTTTTTTTATAAAATAAAAGTTATTATTATAAATAAGAACTAAGAGTTATTTTATAACCACATAAATTAACTCTCTTTATCTATACCTTCGTAGCAAGTCGTTTGACTTTTGAACCTTTTTTTCCTTCTGAGGGAGGGGTCAGAATCCGGGAACCCATTACATAAAATAGTAAGCGCTTTTGGATCAACTGCGAATCGTTTTGTTTTTTGAAAATTAATTTAAATTCACTAATCACGAGTTATGTTTGAACACAATAAACAAAAAATTTGTAAAACCTGTAAAATCAATTACGATGTGCAAATACACTCATGGATATTTGCAAAAACTAAGTAAAAGACTTGAAAACAAACCTCACTTATTGAATATATAAAGTAACATAAATAATAATTTCATTATTATATCATCCATAAATCTAGATTTATATGTACCTACATATATATGCAAATACTTATTTTGATAATATAAAAGCAACAATTAACGACAAAAGTACGAATCATAAATAATTAAAGTTATCTGAAAAAAATATACGAGATTCAAGGAAAAAATGAGGTCATTGGGACTAATATACCACAATATCAAATGAAAAATTAAAGTTAAATTTATTTAATAATTTTTACATTATAATTTATTATAAATACCAATGTTTTTTTCAGATGGAGTCCAAAAATATTGTAGGAACCACTGAAATAAGCCTGTGCACATTTATATATGGGAATATATAATTTTGTAAGTGGTTGCGAGGTTACAGTGTACTTCTAAAGTAGATCCATATGGTATATCACCATTGCTATATAGTTTATAACATGAAATGTATTATCCTAATACAAAACTAATATACATTTCAAATTGAAAGGAAAAATATATTAGGGTACAAGCAGAGTTGTAAAAATATTTTTTTCTGAACCAAGTATTATTAAATGAATGAATTGATAAATTAATAAATATTTCTTATAAATATTTTTATAAAATGTAAAATAGGTCTCGTCTGGAGTATTGCTATGAAATACATACAAGAATGTAGGTAGATTATTTATTGGGAAGGGGTTTGAAATATTTAGATAACTATTTTTATTATTATCTATTTATTTATTAGATGCAATGTACCTAGAGGGTTGAACCCCCTTTACTTATACCACTGATACACTAAAATGTACAATCAGTTTCAATTTAAAAATTCATCATTAGGTATAAAAACACATTCTACTCTTTATTAATGTATTATGTTTTTATGTTTTTATAAATTTAATAATAATTTTTAAATATTTTTGTAATAGTTAATTGTTCTGAAAAAATAGTGGCAAATTATTATTATGGTATACAATTGGTATGAATTTATGATTTCAAAAACATGTTAGTAAACGGAAGTATACTAAGTAGTAGTAGTAAGTTAGTAAATATCTTAACAAGTAAAAATTATAAATTTTAATTATACGAAAAAAAAAAAATTGTGCCTAAATGATAGTTATTGTTACCTCGATATTATACCTAAATGATAGTTATTATAACCTCGATAGACTTAATATTTCCATTACTTTCATTTTTCAAACATCAAATTATCAAAATTAATTCACATATGTGAATGCCAGACAATAAATTACGTAAGATTAATCAACTTTTTAATTTTTACATCTTGTAAATTAATATAAAATACAAAAGTATTATTTAACTTCAAAGTACATACGTAAAAATAGAAAATTATACATTAAAATTTTAGTTTAATTATGAAGATTTTATTTGACAGAATTGACAATTTAAATTTTTAAATTTGAAAGTATAACAGGAACTTAAGAACAGTATGTTTTGTTGAAACTTATGTAAATTATTATCATTATCAAACAGCTCCAAGACTGTCCTTTTTAATATAGACATTTACCTACAATTTATATAAGATAAAAATTGTTCTCACTTTTAATCTACTTCAAATTTTTTTATTAGTTTTGAAGATTTGAATGAAAATAGATTATGTATATTTATCTAGTTTCAAATACATTTCGCAAAAAAAAAAAATTAGAAGCACTTGAGGATCTATAGTACAGTTTCCAGTGTGGTCACAACCCTTTACAGTCATCACTGCTTAGGTACAATTATATCATATGCCACAATAGGTTTGTTTTTTATTAAAATTTCAACAAATATCAAGCAGTGATGCTAAAAAATTGAATAGGTCATTTGTATCCATTTAGTGATGTTTCTTGTATGTATGACATATATGATATAATTTATTTTAATAATTTAGGTTAAATTATTACGTAGGTATATTCATGACTATTGATGATATATTTTAATGCTAAAATATGTGTAGAATTTTGAATTTGAATACTTACTTAGGATTATTTAATATTTTATACGAATATAAGCAGCTCAATTCAATAAAATATTAACACTTAGTACTAGATGACACTATATTCTTTACCTTAGTAATATTTCTGTTAATTCACAAGACGAATAATGTACGAAAAAAAAAAAATTGGTTAAAAGTATATTAAATATACAGTAATTAACATTTTGAAAAATTAAAAATAGGTATAATTAATTGGGATAACCCCATAATACACGTGTAAAATTTAGTTTCTTTAAATTAAACTTTAAACTGATTTCATAATCATTTCATAATCAAATTAAAGATGTTTTGAAAAAAAGAATTATTGAAGTTTATATGAAGCTACAAAAAATATATACAAATATATTATAAATTTAAATTTAAATACTAACAAGAACCCAAGTAAAAAAAAAAAAAAAAATTAGTCTATTATTAAAAGATAATTTTAAATGTAAACAATTGATTTAGAAATAAATGTTTTCAAATAAATAATTTAACGGAAAATATAAAATAAATTGGTCGAATTAATATTGTAAAACAGGTTAAAAGTAATAGAATAGTAGTAATAGTTTTTAACCATAGCTATTTATTTTTTTATAAAAAGAGTATTGTAAATTGAATCATGGTCTGGTCTTGGTATCTTTAATATCAAGAGGAATAATTATAAATTTTAGAAAAAAAAAAAAAAACAGTTTCATTCCAGGGTTTTTATCTTTTATAAATGCAAGACTAAAAAAGTTAGGAACAACAAATATTTGTGAATCCATATAAAATCACTATTATAAAGTTTGTTAAGTTACTTATTTACAAATAGTATTTTCAATTTATTTTCTTAGGAATTATAAATTACTATAAAATAACATACAAACTTTTAATATCACCTAATACTGTGAATGACCACCTAATTAATTTTCAATTATTAAGTCTATTAAAAAAAATAATAAATAAAAAAAAAATAGATTTTGAAAAATGGAGAAAGAAGAACAAATGAAAATATACATATAATTAAAAGAGTATATCATAATTAAATTAATTCTCCACGAATGCAACTTTTGTTCTTCAAGAGAATGTGTTTTAAATTGTAAATATTTAATTTTAAATGTTACATACATATATAAAAAAAAAAAAAAATTTAAGGTAATAAAAATTATGATATAATATTTAGTTTTAAATTAACGCATACGGTATTTATTAGATTCGGTCACATCATTCACATCATTTTTAAATTGAATGTCAATAACAAAGTCCATATCTCGGGTATTACGTTCGTTTGGAGACATTGAAAATGTGCCAAACACTTCATCATTTCTTTTCACAGTTAAATAGTTATCCAAGTAGAAAACAGTTTGTTTCCAATGTGTATAAGGTGATTCTGGTGCCGTTGAAAAACCAATTCGTTTATGACATTTGGTAAACTCTACAGTAAAATATGTAACCAATGCATGGACATAATCTTGACGACGGACTTGAAGATTAAATGGAGCAGTAAATGTTAAGTCCTCTTTTTTTACTGTATACAAATCTACTTCTTTTAACAAACTTGAATTTGTAACAACCTGACAACAGTAAATTAATATAATCAATTAATATCAATAATACATTTTGGTTTCAAAATTTACCTGTTTAGGTTCTACGCAATCAACTAATGGTTCACTTATAGCAACATTACGTATGGCACTCATATTAAATCCATATACATTTTCCCACCAGTTTATTTTGTCATCTTTATACTGTCTATCTTCAATGCCAGTTATGAACAAATTTGCACGGTCAGGAAACAACATTCCATCTAAAATTAAAATAAGTAATTATAAATGCTATCATTCAAAATTTAGTTAATATTGCAAATCATTTAATTAACATATCAAGATATATTTTTAAATTCAATCCTAAATCATAGAAAAGATGTTATTGTGTTTAAAAGTACAATGCATATATACTGCTTTTATATTGATAGGGAAGCAAAGATATGTATTTATATATATTTCTTATCATTTATAAATAAAAATTTCTAAATTATTTGTAAATAATAATAACCATATAACTACAAATATTATATAAGATATATTTAGGTCTATTTAGGTTTAATATTATGTTAATTTATTTGAGAAATCAAAATAATTTTGATCTTACCTTCTTTTAACCATTTGTCTCTGGCATAAAGTACAGTATCCAACATAGATTCATAAAATAAACAATATCCCATCCATTCCGATATAATAATATCTACTTTAGTAATACCATCTGGTAAGTCTATTTCTTCAACCTAAATAAATAGTTAAGCATTAAAAATATCTATAATAAAATGTTAGAAATAATTTTTTACTTTTCCTTTGATAATTGTTACAATATGATCTAAATTGTTATCAGCTACTATTTGTTTGGCATATTCTACAATATTAGAACACTCTACACCGATGACTTTGGCTGCTCCAGCTTTAGCAGCAAACATAGACAATATTCCAGTACCACATCCAATATCTAATACAATTTTACCCTGTAAATATGAAAAAATAGATTGTTATTAAGTATTCATAAGAAATTTTAAAAAAATGTATTTTGTTTAAAAGAACATACCTTGAGTAAATGTTTATTGTAATACATAGAATTTCTGTAAGTAAGAGTTCGCACTTCATCTTTAAGCATTTCTTCATGTATACCAAAATGAGCATATGAATCAAAGTAGTAATCCATTGAAGTCATCTCGCTTACATTTACAGATCTATTTTTTACACCATTTGAAATAGCCAATGCAGAAGATGATTCAGGAACATCATCAACAACATTATTGTCCATTATTACTTCCATTGGGTCTATTTTATTTTCCTACAATATTTCAATATTATTTTTAATGATAAATCATAAATTCAACAACCAATGATCACCAAAACTGGTTACTGCCATATATTCCCACTATATTTAATACATTTTCATCTAGCGGTAACACTCACATACTCACTGAGCTCACTAGTAAACCATACCTATCAAGTGGGAAGAACTATTGATAACAGATGAAATATGAATATGATATATTAACTTCACCTAATAAAGTATAAGGCAATTGAATCATTTATTTAAAAAAGTAAAGATATCTTTTACCTAACAACGGTTATTTTTCATACCCTCAATACCATTTTTCATAATGGTTACTATAATACTTATATCATAAATTATTTATGATTGGTATGAATGTTTAATAATATATAAATTATATTTGTGAAGACCATTCAAAATATAATTACATAATCTCAAAGTAAAATAACTTAATCAAAAATCAATACAAATACTTTAGTTTTTATTTATATAAGCTTATGGAAATTTTGGAATTTTAATACAAAGATGGTCTTATAATACAATTTATTAGAAAAAAAAATACCTTACATGTGTAAATTAGACAGACCTCTGATATCATTAAGTCTTCTTTAGATCTACTTTCCTACATTTTATAAGAGGGTTTATCTAAACAAGAATATACAATGAATTCAAATCGGTTTTTAAAATTTATATTGCATCAATTGATTGATCAGCCCATTGAAAATAGATAATGTCCACATTATTATGTTGAGCATGTGATAAACATAAGACAGAAAATCATGGATTGCTATTCCTTTAATAATAAATTAAATATCTGAAATTACATTTAAGATTGAAAATATCAATTAAAATTTATTAAAATTTAAACCAAAATCTTATTACTATAGTTTAATAAATAATAAAATAAATATTCTGATAAGCAAGATTAAAAGTTACTCTATATTTAATTGAAAATATAGTTTTTGACTCGGTAGAATTACCTACCTATTAGAATAAAAAATATTATGAGAAAAACTAACTATGGTTTGTAAACATGATAATCAAATTAAAAAACACAAAGTAACACATATAATTTAATATTAAATACAATAGTATTTATCATAAATTAGTGTAATTAAATATAAAACTGAAACCAAACAGATTAATAAAGTAGAAAAAAATATTTCCTTATAAAAAATATATACCTATATTTTCATAGAAATTCATTATCATTGAATTGTCAAGAAATTCAATGAAAATAGTATACGTTTGATGGTTTATTTAATAAATATAATAATAAAAAAAAAAAATAAATATTTTCTTATAATAAGGTATTAGGTTGTTTTATTACATATTAAAATCAGGAAAAATATTAAAAATAATTTTGTACTTAATGGCTACTTATTTAAATTAGATATTATTGAATTATCCAATATATTCAAAGAAGTAAAAAAATTTAAAATAAAATTTTTAAATTCACGTGATTTACAGACATTTTAAAATTGAAGTATACTGTATTAATACCACAGAATTATTATGTTTTAAGAAAACAAATTATAAACAAAATGTTTGTCTAATTCTGTCACAAATTATAATGGTTAAGAAATCGTTTAAATATAGAAATAATCTTCAAAATTAGTTTAGATAAAACATTATTTCAAGCAAAATTATAAATATCTAAAAACTTACGGAATTACTTCCCACTGCCAATGCAATTTGAGACATTACTACGACTTTAAAAAAAAAAGCGACTAGCTGTTATTAAAAGAAATTTGAACTACAAATACGAGTATGAAGACGAATCAAAAATTTAATTTATAAAACTATTGTTTCATAATTATTGTAATAAAATTAAAAAACCGTGTTAGGTCAGACCACTATAATATTGAATAATAAAGAACATGAATATAATCGCACCAACATGTTTGAAGTTAGTAACACACTAACGTATATACCGCATTATTTTTATGAATATTTTTAACCTCAATAATTATTAATTAAAAACAAATGTTAAAGGACAAAAAAATTAATTTATTCATTTTACATACAAATTAAAATAAAATTTATTAATTAAAATGAAAACTAACTAATTTTATGTATTATAATAACTCATAAATTAATTTTTGCGTACCACTCTATCTACACGCAAATATATATTACCTAATCTAAAATCCGCTGGTAGCACTAGTGGTTAAAAAAGGGTGTAAGAATTTGAGAAGTTGGTTTAGTTGTTTATAATAGTCAGTATTTGGTTGTATCACCGATTTGGGAGTGATCTTATCCAATTTATTAATTGGTATTCATCCTATTTTATAAATATAATTATTGTTGTTATTATCATGATTGTTTTGAATTGTTACGTTACTTTGTAATCGCTGTTTCTAAACTAGTTAATTAGAAAGTTATGAGTGTATGTTTTTGAATATTCCAGAAATGTCGTCTAAGGATTATGATCTGGTGAGTAATAATATTATTTAATTTACGTGAGTGGACATTTAATAGAATTATTGGGCGGGACATGTAAATAAATTGACTTATCATCAGAATAATTTATTTTCATTCATGTAAGTAATACAATTGGCAAAATATTGTTAATATTTTTTATGTTACTTATGTTAATGTTTTATTAAATTAATATATACTGAGAAACATAAAATGGTACATATAGGATTATGACATATTTACTGTCAGTGTTACTAAAATTTAAAAATTTAATTATATAGTTATGGATTCTCAAGATAAATATTGTAATATTCAATACTATTCCCAATTAGGGGAGGATAAGTATCTATGTATATATATTCTATTTTTATTGTAATACACACCAAACACCCACATTATAATTTAACTGTGACCACTATGTTATGTAAAAATAGATAATGGACCCCTATTTCCTTGCCCATGTTTGTTATAATTATGTGGCTTCAAATTCTTTAAACCAAACCTTATAAAAAATTTTTTTAATTATAATGGTTTCTTTTTTTAATCAATGATTTCCTTAAATATAGTCTATCCATGAAATATACTTATTATATTTATATATATATATATATATATATATATATATATATATATATTTTTTAAATTTTTAAATTTTTTTTGTTTCTGTGTGACTTTTTACCCGAGGCTTTTTTACCAGGAACTTCTTCCTAGGGACTCTTTTTCCTGATATCTTTAAACTCAGCATCCCTTATCCTAATCAGACACAATAATAAAGCTTGATATAAATCACTTTACAACTATTTTCTAAATATTATATTTAAAATATAAAATTGATTTGTAATAAATATTGATTGAAAAAATAAGAAATATTTAGAGAATAAAACTTAAATTAAAAAAAAAAATATTGTTTTTTTAGTTGTCATAATGTAATCATTTAAGATTTAATTATCATATTTTTGAACTTATAAGTTTGAAATTATATGAGACTAATGATAATAATTGTATTACATTAAAAAAGTAGTTGTCTCTTCGTTGTAAAATACCTCTTAGGTACAATATATATTATTACATTTTTATGTAATGTCTAAATTATCTAAATACTGATACATGTATATAAACACATGTAGTATGGATGATAAACAGTTCATTGGTTACTATTTACTAATAAAATTAATTGTTAGAGGGATAAGGTACATTTGAGTATAAATAAAAATTTTAACCATTTTAATATATTCATACATTAAATTTTGTCTAAATATTAAGTCCTTAACATTTTTTTAATAGACATTGTACTTGTTTAAGTATTGTAATTTATGATATTTTTGAGTTGTGTATGCAGAAGTAGTAATATATTGTTACAGCATTTTGCAATATGAATTATGATTAAGAGAAATGGACAATATATATTCAAGAATTAGTTTCAATTGAATAAACAGAGTTCATATGATAATAATACATTTACTTATCAGCTTAAATAGCTATTCAACTGTATTACAGGTCTTTTTTTTTATTACTATATTGTATTCAATATTTTGTATGTATCCACACTGGTTTGTTGGTTTAGGAATGCTAAACAATTCATTAAGGTATCTGCTACTCTTTAAATTTTATAACTTATCCTAGTTATTGTAATCCAACGAGATAGATTCTAGCTCTTGATGCTAAAATATGTAAGTTATGCTAATGGTTGTACAAGATTTTGGAACAATATTTCCTGGAAACTATTTAAATTATAGATTAATATAAATGTACTATAGAATTATAATAGGTATATAATACAAATATACAGTATAAGAATATAGTACTTATAACTTTCAAATGTGGTACTAGCAATCGTTCTTAACTCAATAAATTAGTATGTTTTAATAAAATTCATCTTGTGTGTTTAATATGTGTTATTAAATTATTTATTATTATAAATTTTATTTTTTTCCAATTAGGGTTGAATTTATTTTTATGTTATATTTATTATTTAAATAATATATTTACATTGTTAACTGTAAAAATGCTTGATACTTAATTATATTCCTCATTATAAAAATAAACTTTTGGCAATGATCCATAGCAATTTGGCATAATTATTACTTAACTATTTTTCAACAAATTATTTAATTACATATTATATATCTATATAATTAAAATTATACATATGTATATAAAATATAAATTATGATAATATGTTATTTCTAATTATTTATGTCGTTTAAATAAAACTATAATATATGTACATATTTCTACTGTACTTATTAATTTTAATTTTGTTCTACAATGCTCCAATAAAATAATTTTTAATGACTACCTAACTTTGCTTTTTTTTCTTTATTCATAGTTCCAAGTTAAAACAATTGCTAAATTTTTATTAAAATCGTTTTATATACTATTTTTACAATATGTTATATCTATTGGATTTAGAACCTTCTACCTTTACGAGGGTTACCATTAATAATAAATAAATGTTCTATTATATTTATTCATTCATATTAATAATTGTTAAAGCATTTATTATAAAATTATCAAAAAAGTTAATTTATACTTTTACGTAACAAATATGTTTTATTTAATTTTTTGACATGTTAAATATTTTGTAATTCATGTTATGAAACCTCTTAAGCACCAAATTTAAATTAAGATTTGCTTAAAATGTATATTTATGAAATATTTCATTTTATGTAAGTAGAGCTTGATGCATCAAATTATATTATGGTATTAAAATATTGCATAACTTTTGTAAAAAAATATTCCAGTTAATAATATAATATAAATTACATTCAAAAGAAGTTTTTTGAAAGATGCCAAATATTACTATTATTACATACTTTGATAATATTTTTTCTTTGATAACACATCTTGATATTTTGATAATTATTTTATTACCCAAACATGTTTACAGATAAATAAAAAATCCTATTGATTATTAAACCATACAAAACAATAATAATTAAAACTTCACAATTTAATTAATGAATAATGGGGGTAGTCAGAACTCAATGTTATTTATGTTATCTAATGTACCCAAAATAGATATTGAACTGATTTTAGTTTGTTGAATTGATACTATTTGGCAATTTATCAAAGAAAAATATATTCCTTGTTCGTATTTAAACTAATTATAACTAAAAATTGATCTTTCATCTGTTTAATTTACTCGTGTAACTAATAAAAAATAGTTGATATCGATGAATACTGTAAATTATCTTTATTTTTAAATTTTTTCCACATGTTGGCTAATACATTATCTAGTCATTGATATTTGTTCTAATATTTGTATGCATTGTATATTTTATAATTTTAGATTTATTATTAGTTGTTGTTATATTTATTATCTTTGCTTATTGAAATTATAAGTTTATGATAATATTAGGATAATTTTCAATACACCGATTTTAAGAAAAAATAAATGTCCGTTTACCAATAATGTTATTAATAATAATATGCAAATTTAATATTTTATACTTAAAAAAAATATGACACTATTAATAAATATAAGGATATATACTATATAAATAAGATATCTATTTATATTATAATACAATTGTGTAATCGATTTATTTTTATTTTAGCATGGCAGAACAGACTCATATCGTGTTGCCACAGTCCCTTCTTTATTTGATGATAATAAGACAGTAGATGGGAAACCAAAAGTAAAGAATAATTTATACCTAATTTAATTTTAGTACATTTTTTTTTTTTTGATATATGATTTTTAAATTACTATTAATATTTTAGACAAGAAGGAAAGCACCGTCGTCCATTAGTACTAAGTATAGTCATGCTGAAAACTTAGATGAACTCAAAGAAGATCCATACTTGGATTATCATAAAATATCATTGGATGAACTATATCAAAGATTTGGAACACATCCTGGAACTGTAAATATACACTCATTTATGAGTAGCAACATAAGTATAAATTAAAATTGTGAAAAATTTCATTTAAATGATATGAAATGGGCCGATAAATAACATTTTTTTAATAGATTTTAATGAGAAATATTTTTATAGTTTATGTTCAAATGTGAATAATTCGGTATGTGGTAATAAATTAATGAAAAATATAAGTTTCAAATTAAATAATTTTACAATAAAAAAGATAGGGAAAAAAACAGATATTATAGCAGAAATTACAAGGAGAAGATAAATGTAGGCTGGACATGCTTGGAGGAAAGAGGGTTCTTTTATTAAGGTGGTTTTTAAAGAAAATCCAATTGGGAAAAGACCGTTAGGAAGACTGCGTTTACGATGAGAGGATCGTATTAAAAAGGATGTTAAGGCAGTAGAACCAAATATACAGTGGAGAGAAGTTGCAGAGGATAGGGAAAGATGGCGGTAAATTTGTCTGCAGGGATGGTCTTGAAAGCCATAATCCACAAGAAGAAAAAGAATAAGATATATATATATATATATATATATATATATATATATATTACGGAAAAAGTAGGAAATCTGGGCGTTGTAATACAATGTATACATGTATTATAGTATACTATACACAATGTCTAAATATTTTCAGCAATTTACAAATTATATTCTTAACACTCGAAATTATCATACATTTATCGGGCATTGTACAAGAATTATAAACAACAATCATATTATTCTCAGTCATATCCAACCATCTCTTTTTTGGTTTTCTTCTTCTTTTCTCTTGAACATTCATTTTCATAACCACTCTTACTGCTTTTGTTTCCTCTCGCTTCATCATCTATCCAAACCATCTCAGTCTATTTTCTCTCATTTCATTATCGACGTTACACCAACACTACCTCTCATATATTCATTCCTTATTCTTCTCTTGTCTCTCCACTCATCCATCTAATCATTTTCATTTTTGCAACACTCAATCTGTTCTATTCTCTTGTCAACCACTCAACACTCCGAACCAGATAGCTTAGTTAGTCTCACTACACTCCAGTAAAATTTACTTTTCAGCAAAATTTGAATTCTTTTATCATAAAAAAGCTCTGATCTCTCTATTTCATCCAACCCTACTAAATCCTATGTTTTATATCCATGCGAAAGCTCCCATTCTTTTGTATAAATTATCCTAAATGTTTGAAGTTCTTGACTTCAATTATTACATCACCACTTATTGTCCTTTGGTCTACTCATACCCTTAATTTCTTGATATCTTCCTCTAAAGTCATACTCTATATACTTTATTTTATTTCTACTAATTCTTAATCCCTTTCTTTCAAAGGCTAACCTCCACTCATCCAACTTCTTATGAACTTATTTCAGATCTCCTACCAAAACTATATCATCAGCAAACATACACCATGGTATTTCAACCTGTATGTCTTTCGTAACTTCATCCATTACCCCAGAGAAGAAATAAGTGCTTAGAGCCAACCCTTGATGCACACCAATTCCTACGTTAAATTTTTCTGTTACACTGCACAAAATAATTACACTAGTTCTTGAGCCTATGAAGGCAAATGTATGAACATACCCTGAATGAAATTTATAAATATTTTTGGGACCTCTTTTCTTATTAATGCCCACAAAACTTCCTTTGGTACTATGTCATATGCTTTTTCTAAATCTATAAATACCATGCACAATTTTTTCTTTTCTCTAAACTTCTCTATTAGTTACCTAACACAAAATAATGGCATTTTTCTGGCATAAAACCAAACTGATTATATTATTTTTTAGCCCTCTCATATTTCTTTTGTTTTCCATTTAGTTTCCTGAACACAACAAATATGAACTTTCCTCTTCTTTAATACTTCCATTCATTTTCTACTTCTACCTGTTAACGTTCTAATATTACAGGTGCCTATACTCACTATACATATATACATATCTCTCATACCTAGTTGTAGATTTAATCTGGGGCGCAATGGTGATGTCCCTACACCGTTGATATTACCTGTGTTAGGTAGACCTGAACACATAACTGGTGAACCAGTTACCACACTGGCTGTCCAGCTGGTATCACTAATTTCATCATTTAGGCCTCCTCCATCTCTAGTTGTGATACTTCTTCTTACTTGTCTTTCCTGCGGACATCCAAGATGGGACAAACCGCCTAATTTTTGTTTTGGACTCCTCATATTCTTTGACAATGTGCAATTCTCCAATCTGACGCAACCTCATGTAGTCACCTCTTACAAATGGCTGAGGAACCGTGGAAGTATTCTAATCCCCTTCTACAGGGAGAATACTTAGTTAAAAATATTTTAATATTTAACATACTAAATAAGTTATAAGCAATATACTTGGGTGGAAAACCATTGTATCATATGAATTAATTATTACTATACCATTGGCACTGTTGATTTTTGATTTTTTACAATTTATGTTAATTATTTAGTTCTTTATTCTTTTCAATTTTAAGTTAATTTAACTACCATATGAAGAGGTACATTTGTAATTGATTTGGATAGTTATTTGTTAACATTTTTAATTTTAATTTAGGGTTTAACTCACGCTAAGGCTCGTGAAAATTTAGAAAGAGATGGACCTAATACTCTTACACCACCAATTACAACACCAGAATGGATCAAATTCACAAAACAGATTTTTGGTGGTTTTTCAGTATTATTATGGTGTGGAGCAATTTTATGTTTCTTAGCCCATACTGCAGAAACTAGTACTACAGAAGATCCAAATGATGATTATGTAAGTTTCTATACATGAGTTAATTGAGTTTTTATGAACTTGTTTATAAATACCTGCAATCATGCAAATTCCTAAACTAATTATAATTTCAATAAAACTACAGTAGAACCCCTCTAATCCGTCACCTTTGAGACCAGGGATGTGGTCGGAACGCGAAAAAGGTTGTCTTATCAGAATATACAGAAACATTTGAAGACAGCATTTTATCAAATTAATTTATTAAATGATTTTAAATTACATACATATATTAAATTATTTACTGCATAATATATGTAACACAAAAAATTTGAACGAAAGTATTACATATATACATAAATGATAAAAAACAATACAGAAATAGATTTTTGTTTAACTATAAATTGGGAAATTAATATGTACATATTTTTAAAGTATTTGTATTAATAATTCTATTGTCAGATCAATCAAAGTAGCGGATTAGCCAAGGGCAGATGAGAGGGGTTTTACTGTATAATAATTTGAAAAGTTTCTATTATTGTATTAATTTAATACATTTAATTTAAATACTATAACCCAGTTTTACTTGGGAGTAGTATTAGTGGCTGTTGTTATCATCACAGGAATCTTTTCATATTATCAACAAGCTAAATCTTCTGCAATTGTGAATTCATTTAGGAATTTAGTTCCTCAGGTAAGGCAGAGATTTAGCTGAAATTATTGTGTTGGTGTGGTTGAGCTTTTGTATTATAATTTTATATATTGTATTAGCATGTGTGTGGGTTAGTATTCAAATGTTACTTCAGCTTATTTAAGGGATTCACTTTAGCTTGCTTTTAACTATTTTTTATCGCAGATTTATTTAGGTTCAAGTTTAATAGCTGTTATTGTAGTCACTGGCTTTTTGTCTTACTGTCGACAGTATAATCAAGGTGCAATTATTTGGTCATTCTATGAAACAACTTCACAGGTCTGTCAATCTTTGTTTGAATTCACTTTTACATAAGTAGTATTAGTATTTTTTTGCACAGTATAAAAAATGATAGATAAAAGCTTTGAAAAAAATTAGACCTCACTAATAAAGTAATAACTTCAATAACTTCATAATTTATAAATCATTAAAAAAATATTCCATTTTTGCAAAAATAATACTTTATAATAAATATTTGCTTGGATCAGAATTTAGAATAATAATAATAATATTGAAATACATTGCATCAATATTTTTTAAAAGAATATTTTATTTAAGAAATTAAAAAATCAGTTTTATTTAAAAATTTTTAAACTAAGGCTAGGAACATGAAAACAATTAATTAATTTAAAACTATAAAAATAAATCTCATAACTTACTGTAAACAAACTTAATACAGTAAAAATAATAATTTTATCATTGTTTTAATGATAAATGCAACATAAATTTGATTATTCATTATACAGTATTAAATTACTAATGTATTACTAATTGAGTGAGGTTGTTTCAAAATAACCCGCTATATTCATTTAATATTCATTAGTGGTTTCAATTTCTAAACAGGACTGCCAGAGAAAATAAACTGCCACTCATTGTGTATATCCTATAAAAAAAAAAAATGCCCAGAAATAGGAAACTAACTAACTTCTGTTCTATAAATTATTTACAGAATTATTAATAACCTTAATTGTTATAATCCCTAGAAAAAAAAAATTTAAATTTCTTTATAGAAAGATTCATTTTACATCGTCAAAATGCTTTTTATTTTAACTTTTGCTTGTAAATTATGAAAATTGTAGTTATTAATAATTAATCTATTAAATACATAGAAGTTAATTTTTATTGTGATAATAAATTGTAGAGTTATTACATAAAAAAAAAAATAAAGTCATTCAACTCAAAATAATAGTGTAATATTTTAAAAATAACATTTAACTATTCATTTTTAAATTACTAATTAACTGATTAATTACAAAAAAATCTGTAACATTTAGAACTGCATAATATTAATTAATTACATTTTGAAATTATTAATAATTTTAGGTTATACTAACATTTTTTTTTTTATTATAAATTTACAATAATTTCAAATATTATTTAAATACATATTTTGTTTTTCTTTCACCTTAACTTTAAAACATGAATTGAAATATTTGTAATTTAAAAATTAAAGAATTATTTGAATTTTTGTAAAATAGAAATAAAGTAACAGTTTTTAAATGTAATATAATTAAAACATTTTCTAAAAATAATAAATAAGCTTAAAATATAAATTACTGATTTATATATATATTTATATATTTGTTCAACTTGAATTCTTTAGACATTGAAATAATGTTTATGGTTTTCAATGATTTTTTAACACATTCCTTGTAAAGTTTTGTAAATACCACAAAAACTTGAAAATTTCAAATCATATTTTTCCCTCTATATTTTAAATTGTATTTATTATTCCATTAATTTTATAAAACTTATAGTTGCATTTTAATCATTATTTATATATAAAAAAAAAACTTAATGGCTTAGAATTGTTTATTATTAATTAAAATGTACCTAATTTGTTAAAAGTATGTTTAATTAAATATCTATTTGTTTTTAATCAAAAAAAATTATTTTGAGTTTTATCATTTTATTTATTGCACAGCATTTTTCATTAAAGGTGTTGGAATATTGATTTATTTTAAAATAATTATATTTTAATACTGTTACTTAAATAGTTTGCTTTAGTTATACGCCAAGGTGAATCACTAACACTACGAGCAGAAGATCTTACTCTTGGTGACATTGTTGAACTAAAATTTGGAGATCGTATTCCAGCTGACTTAAGAATTATTGAAAGTCATTCATTCAAAGTGGATAATTCTTCACTGACTGGTGAATCAGAGCCACAAAGTCGTACTTCAGAATTTACCCATGATGATCCTTTAGAAACTAAAAATTTGACATTTTCTTCTACACATGCAGTTGAAGGTTCATAATTATATAATATTTTATAATAATAACCATATTTATACTATAGTTTAATTGTATTAATTTAGGTACTGCTAAGGGTGTAGTTATTGCAGTTGGGGATAATACTGTTATGGGAAGAATTGCTGGGTTAGCTTCTAGTTTAGATAGTCGACCAACACCAATTTCAAGGGAAATAATTAATTTTGTCAATTTTGTTAATATAACAGCCATAATAATTGGACTATTGTTATTTATTATTGCATTGATGATGGGATGTTATTGGTTGGATGCTATTATTTTCATGATTGGTAGGTCAATAAGGTCATCTTATAGATTTATATTTAAAATATATACTAAAAAAATTATTTTTGTGTTAGGTTTTCTTGTTGCAGCTGTTCCAGAAGGATTGTTAGCAACTGTAACTGTTTGCCTAACATTGACTGCAAAACGAATGGCATCTAAAAATTGTCTTGTAAAGAATTTAGAAGCAGTTGAAACACTTGGTTCTACTTCAACAATTTGTTCTGATAAGACTGGTACTTTAACTCAAAATCGTATGACTGTTGCTCATATGTGGTTTGATAATCAAATTATTGAAGCTGATACTACAGAAGATCAGTCTGGTGTACAATATGATCGATCCAGCCCTGGATTTAGAGCTCTTGCGAGAATTGCCACACTTTGTAATAGAGCAGAATTTAAGACCGGGCAGGATGGTGTACCTACTTTAAAAAAGTTTGTTGATATTATATCAAACAATTAAATAACATTTACTAAATTCCAAATATAATTGTCATTAGGGAAGTAAATGGAGATGCTTCAGAAGCTGCATTACTGAAATGTATGACACTTGCTCTTGGTGATGTTATGTCTATTAGAAGGCGTAACCGTAAAGTTTGTGAGATTCCTTTTAATTCAACAAACAAATACCAAGTAATTAAAATTAATTATAATATAAACTTGAATAAATGTTCTGTTATAATTTAAAAAATGTTATTATTTATTAGTTGTTCTTTACTAAATTATAGTATATTTATTTAATTATTTTAGGTTTCAATCCATGAGACAGAAGATTCTTCAGATTCTCGATATCTGTTAGTTATGAAAGGTGCTCCTGAACGTGTACTTGATCGATGCTCTACCATATTTATTGGGAGTAAAGAAAAAGTTCTTGATGAAGAAATGCGTGAAGCATTTAACAATGCATACCTAGAATTAGGAGGTCTTGGTGAACGTGTGCTTGGTTTTTGTGACATGTTGTTACCATCAGATCGTTTTCCTAAAAATTTTATGTTTGATGTTGATGAACCAAATTTTCCATTAAGTGGCATGCGATTTGTTGGTTTAATGTCTATGATTGATCCTCCAAGAGCAGCAGTTCCAGATGCTGTAGCTAAATGCCGTTCGGCTGGTATAAAAGTTATTATGGTTACTGGAGATCACCCTATTACTGCCAAAGCAATTGCAAAATCTGTTGGAATTATATCTGAAGGAAATGAAACTGTAGAGGATATTGCTCAAAGATTAGATATTCCTGTATCGGAAGTTAATCCCAGAGATGCTAATGCAGCTGTTGTACATGGTTCTGAACTATTAGATTTGCCCCCTGAGGTTTTGGATGAAATTTTAAGGTAAAAATTAAATTAGGTACTTGTGCGTTATCACGCCTACCGCCGACTCACCACGATACCATGATTTTATAACATATTTTTAATACGTTTATAATAATACAAAACTACCCAAAGCTAAAAGTCAATGTATTTATTGATAATATAATAATAACATGTAAAATATTATAAAATAAAATATGTGATAATATAATATGTCAAATTTATACATCAAAAATTACGAGTAAAATTTATAAAATTAAATGTAGTAAAAATGTAAAAATCGATTTGTGATGGCCATTGTTTTGCAATAATATTAAGTAAAATGTTGTACTTGTCTTCATTATGATTGGTATTCCTCCACATAAATTCCGTCAAGTAGGATTCTAAATGGTGTCTCGCTGTACCTAAGGCCGTATTTAAGGGGGGGGGGAGCACTGGCTAAAACTGCTCCAAGCGCCAGTTTTTTGGGAGCGCAAAAATTTTATGGTCGGAAATTTGCTCACTTGTAAATTATTGAACTTTCAAAATTATTTTAAAATTATTATTTTCATAGGTTCATGAGGATCTATTTCCTATATTTTCTGTGGATAAGCGCCTTAGAGAGGCACCAATTTTTTTCTTGTGCCGGGGTGCAAAATTATTAAATACGGCACTAGCTGTACCTCTATGATGTTTGTTTCTCCATTTCACCAATCCCCAAAGTCTTTCTATTCCTTCTGTGTGAGCATGTGTATTTGGATCAACGAAATTATAAGAATGATTCATATACCAATATGAGGTAGTTGTGCAGTAGGTGCTGTAACGAACAAGTACCCCTAAGTAAACAAGGTCTTAGGAAATATAAAATATTTTAATTAAAACTGTGTAATATAGATACCATAAAGAAATAGTGTTTGCAAGAACTTCACCTCAGCAAAAATTAACAATTGTAGAAGGTTGTCAAAGAATTGGAGGAATTGTTGCAGTTACTGGAGATGGTGTTAATGATTCACCTGCGCTTAAAAAAGCAGATATTGGTTAATAATTCATATTTAATGTTGTTGACTCAATAATATATTAGTATATATTTTAGGATATAATTATTTACATACTTAATTGTTATTAAATTCTTAAAAATTATTAATTAATTAGGTGTGGCAATGGGAATTTCTGGATCAGATGTTTCTAAGCAAGCAGCTGACATGATTCTTTTAGACGACAATTTTGCTAGTATTGTTACTGGAATAGAAGAAGGACGTCTAGTATTTGATAATTTAAAAAAGTCTATTACATATACTCTTACATCTAATGTTCCACAATTACTACCTTTCATTGCTTTTATCATGTTAAGCATACCATTGCCGATTGGTGCTATTGCTATATTGTGCATTGATCTTGGTACAGACATGGTAAGAATAAACATTATATTTTTTGAATATTGTTACATTGACAGATATTTTCTTTGGCAGAATGTTGATAGTTATTTGGTTTGACGTTTGTTCACTACAGTTTTGATTATAATTAGGCTAAATATGAGGTAACCATAGAATTTTTTTTTTTATCTAGAAACAAATTTAATTTATATCTAATCAATTTATATATGCTCTTTTTAACCTACCAATTTCTTTAAATTGGTAAACAACTAGAATATTTTTATAAAATAAATAATGAACTTCTGTATAATACAACTATAAAATGTTAATATGAAATTATTCATTTTGTGTTATAATTTAATTTTAATTTTTATAATGAATAAACTAATTGCAAATTTAATTTATGATGTAATATTGATTAAATAATATCCATACACAAGCAAATAATAGAATACAGTCTTAGAATATATAAATTTTGTAACAGTACTAATTGATGTTTTTTATATTAATACGTTATTGATTCTTGTAGTTAATGAATAAATAATTATGTGTTTATAGTTTAGTAAAAATGCTTAATTTACTATTTTAGCTATTGCTTAAAAAAGGTTTTAGTTTAATTAGTGAATATATCAAAAAAAAAATAAATATTAGAAGCTGTAGTTTATGTACTTCATTAGAATAAGCTTGTTGTATTTAGGTCCCAGCCATTTCATTGGGTTATGAACATCCAGAATCAGATATAATGAAACGTCCTCCTAGAAATCTAATTAGAGATAGACTTGTAAATAACAGGTGAATATATGTGTAGTATTTTATTTTATTATTTTTTTTTTTTTTTTGCTTCAGCTTTTTATCTTTTAATAATAACTTGCTTTGAAACTGATTTATAATTGGCATGTGTTTTTGCTTAAAGTTTTTTAAAACATGTATTAACTGTGCTAATCTGCATGTTTTATTATTTTATTTAATTTTCTATACTTTCAATGTAACAAAATAACAATGGAAAAAAATATAACAATTATAAAAAATTATGTTTGTGGGTGATTTGTTTCTTGTTTTGGGACTGCTAGATGCCTGGCATTTCACTTGCATTTGAAACTGGCGAATCAAACCTAATGAAAAAGAATCCATCTATAAAAAATCCTCTTTTTAATGTCAGGTAAACTTAATAAACTATTCTTTGTTTCTTTTACCTTCTTCATAATTGAATGCTTGGCAAGTAGTTATTGGCACATAAATAAGAGCTGAACAAATAAATATTAAATTCATTATGTTTTTAACTTGTGTGTGTATATATATTTTTTTTTAGATTAATATCTTTAGCATTTTGTCAATTGGGTATCATTGAAGCATTTGCTGGTTTTTTTACCTATTTTGTTATTATGGCTGAAAATGGATTTATGCCATACAAATTAATTGGAATACGTCGTGAATGGGACTCTAGGGCAGTAAATGATTTACCAGATTCATATAATCAGGAATGGGTAATATATATTTTTTAAATATGTGTCTTGTATGCTATTAAAATTTTAATATGTTTATTAAAGACATACCAAGATCGCAAATCCTTAGAGTATACATGTCATACAGGATTTTTTATAGCAATAGTTGTAGTACAATGGACAAATCTTATAATATGTAAAACAAGAAGAAACTCAATTGCACATCAAGGAATGAGGTTAAAAACTGATTGTTTAAAATTAAATTCTAAAAATTAACCAATATATTTTTTTTTTTAGAAATATGGCTTTAAACTTCAGTTTGATATTTGAAACCATCTTAGCATTGTTTTTATGTTATTTACCTGGAATGGATGAAGCACTACGCATGTATCCATTAAAGTATGGCATATTGATTTTAAGTTAATAAGATTCATAAGTTTTAAAATTTATTTTTCGTAAATATTTTTTAGGTGGACTTGGTGGATTCCTCCAATACCATTTGCATTAGCCTTATTTATCTATGATGAAGTAAGAAAATTTTATATAAGACGAAACCCTGGTGGTTGGTTAGAAAAAGAGACATATTATTAAGTAGTTTTAGATGATTAAATTAAAGTTGATTTTATTAAAATATCACTAATTAAAAATTATTCTATAATAAGTAAGCATTGTCATGAATATTTTGAAATCTTATATTAAATTATTATTATTCATCTAAGAATAATAATAATAGAATGCACTAAAATTAGTATATTTTAATAATTAATAATTATAATTATTACATTAATTAGTTGCTAAAAAAAAAAAACATTCGCCAATATATAAACATTTTTTTATTTTACATTATGTCAACCAATTTTTAGGTTGCAAAATTTTGAATATATGGTATTACATAATTTATTATCGTTGTATAATATTTTACTATGTACAAAAACCTGAACTTCTTACACAGGGTTACTAATAGTAACAAAATTAAAATATTTATTATACATAAAATTTCAAAAATATTTTTAATAACAATAATTATTTTTATTTGTTAGATTCTTATATTTTTTATTTTTTATAACCATATAAAAGTACAAACATGAATTAATTAATATTTAAAGTTTTTGAAAAGTTTATAATCATTATTTAACTTATTTTAATTTTTTACAATACTGAAATAATTTAAACTTAAATTTTTCAATTTATCTTAAATAGTTGGACAAGGTGTCCATACAGTTCATCATAATTTATTGAAAAATCTCATTTAATAGAATTTTTATTTTTAAATATTTTCAAATATATATTGTATTATACTATATAATTATATTATCACATCCGTCCCTTTGTTAGTTATAATGGTATAATACTGATATATTCTAAAGTATTATAGATTTATGAATAATATTATTAGTATTAAAACTACTTTATTTTTAGGTTGAAGTATTATTAAAATATAATTAGTTTAATATGCTTATTTATATTTTTAATAATAAATAACATTATAATGTTATAAAGTATTCAAATATAATAATAAATCAATATTAAAAATATTATTTTAATTTATGTTGTAATGTGTAATTCAAATAATGTAATTTTTTTGGCTTGTTAGTTATAAAATTAGAACGTAATACAAAGTTAACATTGTGACATTTTGTACTAAAAAAATTATACAATAATTATTTAATATAATTCAAATATATTCTGTCGAAGATAGTTAAATGACTATAAATAATCAATGATTATAATTTTTATTTAAACACGCATGAATATATTTGTATTTTTTTTATGTTTGTGTAAGTAAAAAAATATTGATTTTTGACTTTTAATTTATAATTATGACATGAAAAAATTATTGTTTTTTCAACTAAATTTAAATTTTTTTATGATGCGTTTTTAACATTTGCAAATGTTTTATTTAAATACTTTTGTGTTTTATTAATAATTATAAGAATAATTTATTTAAAAATATTTTGTGTATATGCAAGTGTTCAATAGAAGATTAAATCATATTTGTTTTAATTTTTTTATTTAAATAAAAATAATACCATTAACTATTCAAATATTAATCAATAATTTTTGCTGGTACTTCAAAGCAAGTAATAACATTTCTTGAAATGGGATCCTTTAGACTCCAATGTACATCTATCTTAAACTAAACAAAAATATTATTTAATTATTAGGTATACATATCATGTTTAATAATCTTACCTTTGGATATGTTTCAATTATGTATATATCATCTTTGTATATATATGTACTACCTTTTTGTAAAGGACAATTTTTCTTCGTTCCATCTTCTTCGATGATATTTGTACATACATTTTTTTTATCTACACCCAACAATGGTATTGGTATATTTAATACTATGCCATATACTTCTGTGATTAAATCTTTTACATCAAAGTCTAAAGAAAATGTGATTTTATTGATAATGAATACATAAATGTTAAACATATTCATATATAAATTAACAATATTTTTTTAAATTCATAATACAAATTCAATATTCCACTTCTTACCATCACACTTATCATTCAAGACATGATATATAAATGTCTATAATAGCGGTTCTCAAACTTTTTTTTTCACATAGGTACCACTTGAGTATATTATCAATCAGTCACGCACCATTAATGATTAAAAATAAAACCATACAAACTTTACATAATACAATTCATTTATTTTAAATAAAAAGGCAGTAAAATACTACAGTAAAATTATTATTTTTTATTAATACAAATTAATTAAATATCAAATTTTTAATCTCTGTTCTATCAACATGCGGCCTTTTGCGTACCACCATGTAGTCTTTCATGCATCACAGTTTAAGAACTGCTGGTTTATAACCATTAATTAGTATAAAACTTATATTAATAAATCTTAAATCATAATCCAAAAATAATAGCTGGTTTCAAAATACTATCTAGTATTTTTCCTGACAACTTTTATTATAGACCCCTAACTTTTTGATTAATATTCAAATAGTCCATATCATCAACATTTTAAAATATTTTAGGTTCTCATTATTATCTTAGAATGAAGTTATATATAAAAAGTTTTAGTATAAATATTGATCTTAACATATACTATTTTGAATAGCTTCACCCAAAAGTTAAACAATGTGTTTTAATAAAAATACACTTGCTATTAATATAAATTAATTTAGATGCAAGAAATGTTGTAAGTTTGCCTTTATTAGATAAAGTTAATAAGAAATTATAGTTAAAGCAAATATAAAATTAGTATTGTTGAGCTCAACAATAATTATCAATCTGTCTTAGGCAAAATTATAGTCACTGGCAAAAAATAAAATTCTCAAAATGTCAGTTTATTTTATCTTATAAATGTATATATGATAATAAAAATTATTAAAAGACATGATTGGGTAAGTTCTATGTCAAGGTAGGGATGGGCACTTTCCTGGGAAAGTAAAATCATGAACACGTCCGGGAATATTTCCCATGTCAGAAAAGTGTAGGAAAAGTATGTTTAAATAAAATTATCTTTCTTATTTGACTACTTATGACGATTTAAAATAGTAAAACTCAAATTCTATATTAATATAAAGTTTAAAAATATTTAATTTTTATGCTGTTTGTATAAATACAAATTAAATAATTAGAAAAAAAAATAATACCTAATCTACATGATATTATTTAATTTCTTGTAAAACTGAATAATTTCTCAAACTTAAATTATTATATATTACAATTAATACCAAATATTTGAACCCAACAAAAACACTTCGTCGAACTCCGTGTAAAAAATTGCTAAGTAAAAAAAATTAGTCATCTATAAGACTTCAGCATTATAAAGATGTGATATCATAAATAAATACTAAGTAAATTAAATTTTAAATAAATTTATTCTATCTCAATCGTTTATTTACTTTGCAAGAATTTATTTTCTTTATAAATTAATAATTAAGATTTTTTTTTAAAACAAATATAGTAACATTTGTCATGGAAATTTGTTAAATAGTCCAGTTATAAACAGACATGTTTATTTGTCGAAATAAACGATTTACTATCAACTTTAATTATTGTAGTGGGTAATGCATTAATGGTTAGGTTTGATATTTTGGTATTGACATTACTCCAAAGTTGTATTTGAAAGTACAAATATTCATTAGTATTTACTATATTTGTTATCTGCATATGATCTGTAATAGTATTACAGGCACTGCAATTAACGCCTTCTATTAACACTTCTCTGAATAAATAATCTAACATTGTATTAAAAGTTACCGTTTTATTTTCATTAGATACGTTAAGTTGAATAATATAGTTTTGAGTTATTTGTATTCCCTTATTATGGCACGCAGAACAAACTAATTCTATCTGTAATTTATGAGATAACACATTTTTTAGTGGATCGTAAATATTTATAAGAGGACTAATAAATTCAGCATACACATTGTATTTGTGGTTTTCTTTCTAAATAATTTCTCCTTTTTCTTAATTTCTGTTTATATGTTGTAGAAACTATTTTAGAAATAGCAAATAACAAATTATAATATAATATAATTATAATTATGTTATAAATAGTACGGCCTACTACAATTACAACACATAAAACGTGGTTTTTCTATTATATACTGGCGCGGCGGCCAGGGGCGTATTTAGACTTACTTCTAGAGAGGGGCGACTCAAATTTTTCCTTTAATTCAGACTCAAAATTTACAAGTAAAATTTTTGGTAATATTTATACCAGGTGAATCCTTAATACTTGTGGTTTTTTTTTTTAATCTAATGCCAGATCCTTTTTGAATGGTTTTTTGTCTAATTCTTTTTTAACACATATCCGTGTTTTGAAAGTTTCGCTTGTGTTTTATCTAATTTTTCACTAAGTATGGACTGGGTCTTCAATCAAAATAATATAGGTATATTATTTATCGTTATGGGACATATAAACGTTATAAGCAATTGAGCGTTTAACGCTATAAATAATTTAAACATTATTCAATTCAAGCGTTTAAACGTTTAAAAAATTTTCCGTTTACCATTATTGATAATTAAAACGTTATGAAAAATTTAACTTTTGCGTTATTTAAATTAGTGTAAAATTTGAAACGTTTTCAAATGTAGTATTTAGCAATCAATACTATGTATAATAATATTACATATTTTAAATATTATATATACAGTTGAACCCATTTAAGATGCTCTCCAAGGGACCAGTTACAAATAGCGTCGGGGGAGGTTATTGCCCCCATCGCTCCCCTAAAATACGCCACTGGCGGCGGCGGATATACTAAACGTCGCCAGAAACATGAATGTCGATAACAGAAATGACGAATACGATAAACGAAGACGCAGGCAACGGCGGGAATCGCAACTCGCAACCGCTGCCCAGTGTACCCCGCCACGTAATCGTATACGGAATAGAGGGAGTAATACGGCCTTGTGCACTGCTGTGTGGAACGTTATAACTTAAAACGGCCGAGCACAATATCTTTTTGCTTCAAAAATACTTGACTTTTTTGCTAATATATTCGGCATTATTCAATCAATTTCTTCAAACATGACAAAGGTGTAATCTACAAGTCATCCCCGATCTATTGATACTACATACAGACCAATCCGTTCATTTATTAGGTCTGTAGCCCTGGCTAAAGAAAACGGGCAAATTTACACACATTTAATGGGCAAACTTTGGCTCGTGTAATGTACTACGGTAGGGACCGCTTCACTTTTTTTTTTTTTTACTTAGCTTTGCGCCACTACTGCTGGATACAGTATTTTTCAACTCTTTTTAAAAATCTTTGCTACTATCGTGGTCAGTGCAACTAAATACCAAACTTGTGTCAGTGTTATGGAGAGAAAATTGCTCATTTTCTGTTTCAGAGCTTTCCAATTCTAAATCACTCTCTTCTTCTTGAGTTGGAGTTAAATTCAAGTTGAAACTTTTTTCAAGATAATGTGATGAATTTCTATGTTGTAAAATAAATGGGGTTATTTCATTTTGTGTAAAATCTTCTATCTCTGAATCATCTTTGTCGTTTTTATTTCGATCAAGTATCAAAGAAAATCACAGGTGTAGTTTTCATAGACCTAACAGCTGCCTATGACACGGTAAATTACAGAATACTGACATACAAGCTATATAAAATCACAAACGATTTCCATTTCGTAAAATTAGTAAAAGCTTTACTGAGTAATAGATGGTTTTTTGAAAGTCATAACGAAAAAAACAACAGATGGAGAAAGTCTAAAAATGGTCTACCGCAGAGCAGTGTACTAGCACCAACAATGTTTAATATATACACCAACGACCACCCAATAGCAAAAGACCAATCCATAAACCATTATATATATGCTGACGATAGCACTATTGCAGTGCAAGACACGAGTTTTGAAACAGTAGAAAGAAAGTTAACAATGATACTTAAAGAGGTTGGTACTTATTACTAAAGAAATCACTTGCGACCGAACCCAGCGAAAACCCAAATATGCTTCTTCCATCTGAAGAATAGGGAAGCAAATCGCAAATTATATGTAATTTGAGATGACATGGAAATCGATAATGCCCAACACCTCAAATATTTAGGAGTAACTCTGGATAGGTTTTTAACATACCGAGCTCACTGTGAAAAGCTAAAGAAAAAGATAGCGTCACGAAACGGACTGTTACGAAAACTAACGGGGAGCTGCTGGGGAGCTCAGCCACACACATTAAGAACTACTGCAATAGCTCTATGCCAGTGTTTCTTAAACTGTGTTCCGCGGAACCCTGGGGTTCCACGAAGATCACCTCAGGGTTCTGCGAAACTTAAGTAATTTCTTTAAAAATGTTAAGAAAATTACTTTAAAATTTCCAACTAAAGGTTAGTAATGATGAAAAAATGTTTGCGTTATAGAAAAAAAATCTTTGTATATTAAATAACAGTGTATAACCCATATGGAATAGTCTACATTTATATTTACTCTAATTAAAGTATTATTATATATGTATGTACAATTATTATTATTATAATTTTTATTTTTATATATTTTTTGAATTAAATATCTTTAACATATTATTATTATATAATTATAATTTATTTACAAATAATCCTAAAAAAAACTAAAAAGTTAAAAAAAAATCAAGAGTTCCACGATAAATATGGACATCAAAAAGGGTTCCACGGTTAAAAAAGTTTAAGAAACGCTGCTATATGCCTATCAACAGCCGAATACACATCACCAGTATGGGGGAGATCTACCCACTCAAAACAAATTGATGTCACACTAAATTAAACGTGCCGACTGGTGACTGGTTGTCTACAAAATTCGAAAGTTGAAGAAATATATGTACTAGCTGGAATTGTGTAGGTGTGTAGGTAAAGGTG